ACGGACTGGATGGACGCACGGAGCGCCGGAGCCGGCCGGGCGCCCCGCGCGTCACCGGCGCGTGCGGCGTCACCCTGTGCTGACTGTACCCGAAACGCCCCGTCACGGGGGCGCATCGCCGGCCCGGCGGCAATTAGCTGGGTAATTTTGCGCCATGCGTCACCTATTATTATTATTATTATTATTTGAGTTTTGCAGCCTCCTCGCCGGGGTTGTTGTTGTGGCGTTGGGTTTTTTTGTTGTTGTTGTTTTGCCTTTTCGGAAGGAAGGTAAAACTCCGGGCGCGGGCGAAGCCGTCGCCTCTCCGGGTGGCCGAGGGGCACGGCCGCCCCTGGGCCCGGGCGCTAATCTCCTGGTGTCAGGCGCGACGGGGTATTTTGGGCTCCGGCGTCCTTCCTGCCCGGCTATCGCTTTACCGGGACGTGTGCGCCGTGAGTCAGGGATTTCGCTTCCCGGTGCCCCCCTCCCATCCGCCTGGGAAAAGGGGCTCCCGGGGGCCTTCGTGGACCCACCGCTCCCGGCCTTGCCGGGTGGCACGGACGGACGGACAGACGGACGGACAGCTCCCAGCCCACGCTCCTTCCGCCGCTGGCACCGGCCTGACTTTTCCAGCAAAAATAACCCTTCGGAACAGCCCGGGCAGCTGCGTTGCGCAAGGGGCCCTTGGACGCGGCCGGAGAGGTGGAAGGAGCCGCCTCTCCTGCTTCTTTGGGAATATTGGAGAAGGCCACGGCACCAGGGCCTCTGGAGCACCGCGGCTTGAGATCCTCCTGCCACTGCGCAGGCACGATGGCCCCTGAAAGTTGCTGATCTGCAGGAACTTGTATTTTTACCACCACTTTCTTGTATTTTTCGACACAGTGCTGAGCTCTGTACCCAGGAGAGGTGCCCTTTGGAGCGGGTGCCTGTGCCGGGAGGAGCGAGCCAGGCTGGGAATCGCCCCCGGAGCGGGGCCACGGCACCTGCGCGGGGGCGGCGGGCATTGCCACCGTCACGTGTGCTCTTGTGAAAGGGCTCGGGCAGGTGACGAAGGCGCGAGGAGCGCGGCCGGGTTGAGCCGCTCACGCTCCCGGTGCCCGACGGTGCCGCGTGGAACGGTGCTGCGCACCCAGAGCACCGGGAAAGTCGGATGCGGCGAAGGATGCTCGGCCGTCAAAGCCGCTTGTGTCCCCAAAGCCCTTGGTGTCGGTCCCCTGACCCTATGGAATGGAAAGCCACATATGGAGCATCCCGGCAGCCACCTCTCCGGCTCCTTCCCCAGCGCTGCCTCCAGAGCGCTGGCTGCGTCACGAGCAGGGCCAGGCCTCAGCCGTACAAGCCAAGGCGGTGCCGCTCCGCAGGCGGCCTCCCCGGAGCCGGAGGCACCCAAGGCGACTCCCGCGCATCCAGGCGCGCTCCAGCCCTTTAATAACCGCTGGAGAAGGTTGCTCGCAGGTGGCCGCGGGGCCGCGAGTGCTGGGGGAGGCGGCAGGATCCCCTTCCCCCTCGCCTCCGGCCTGCGGGAGAATGGATACAAAGCCGGAGCATGTGTTGGCAGAGCTCCCCTCGGCTTGGCGGGGGGGACGGCGACGGGACGGCAGAGCTGGATCTAATTTTAGGAGCCGGGCAGAGCCGAGCAGGAAGCGAACGCGGGGCGCTGGCCGTCTCCAAGCCGGGTTGAGAGGGAGCGCCAGGATCAGCACCCCGGATCCGCCACGGGACGGGCACCGACCGGGAGCAGGGTCCCTTTGGGGAGCCCGGCGGGGGCAATATCTGCGTTACAGGGGCCATGCCCGGCTTTGGGAATGCTGTCCTGCTCCGATGGCTGCCTGTGATCCTGGCCAGCGCTCTCCGTGTGGCCCCACTCTGTTTTTGGGGAAACTGAGGCCCAATGCGGAGGCTTGGGGCTCCTCGCCCGGCCTCGCTCCGTCTCCGCCACTGTCTCCTCCTCGTCAAAAATTAGATCCAGCTGTTCCCAATAGCCACGAACTTCTCTCCGGAAGATGTTCGAAGTGTAGGGAGCGGGAGCGAGTGGAGGATGGGCCATGTGCTCGTGCCAGCCCAGCCCCCGGCAGCTCGCGGAGCTCGCGAGGCCAAACGCGGCACCGGGCGCTCCGCGTTTCCCACCGTGCCGGGAGAAGGGTCCGGCTCTGGCAGCCGCGTGCGCTGGGGAAAAGGCTGCAACTACAAACTCGGGCTTGTGCAAAATGCCCCGGATTTTGGAAGGGCACTCCTAAGCAAAGAGCGGCTCCCGGGAGGGTCTCGCAGGGTGTCCCGTGTCTATCCGTCCCATCGCGCCCAGGGAAGGCAGCGGGTGCCCTGGGTGCAGCGGGCGCAGCTGCTTCCGCAGCGTTGGGTTTCGTGGGGGTGGAGGCAGCCGGGGGCAGGTGTGAAACGCGCTCAACCTCCCTCCTCCTCCTCCTCCTCCTCCTCCTCTTCCTGCAGGAGAGATGTGGGACGCTTCCCAGCGTGCTGGGGCTCTTGGGCTTCCCTACGGAGCAATCCCGGAGCAGCGTGATCCGCTGGCGCGTGGTGGGGTGGCCGCACGCTGGCTGCACATTGCGGGTCCCCAGCAGGTGACTCGGAGCCACTTGTTGGCATCTGCCTCATTTCACAACAGAGCGATTGTGGCGGTAAAAAGCTTTTCTCCATCTGCACCGTGGAGTGAAATGCCGGGACAGGGTGGGAGGGAAAGTGGGAAGTGGGACCGGGAGCCAGGTTGGCTCCAAGTGTCCATCTGTCTGTCCTGCCTTATGCCATTGCGGGGCCCGAGGTCGAGCGCAACATCCCAGTCCTTCCCTGGACACAGACCGGCTCTCTGGGTGCCCTGAGTGCACACTTTCCTTGCAGGCATGGGCATCTCCCTAGTGTATCCGATATTTTCCAGGTCCGGATTCATCTCTCATATCCATGTGAGCTGAATGGTGTCCCAGAGCCCGGTCTGGGCATCCCTCGGGATAGAGCCGGCACGGATGCTCACGGCTGGTTCCGAGGGGACCTTGGGCACCCCGGGCCGGGGTAGCGCGGCCGGGCGCGGGCGGCAGCACCGGGGCCAGCGGTCCCTGGTGGGATCCCGCCACGTGGCCTCCTGCGGTTTCCCCGCTCCGATTGCTGCCTGAGCTCCGCGCCAGGCCGGAAGGGACAGGAAGCGATAGAGGAAGGGGAATGAGCCAGGCCAGCACCTCATCCGTGCGCTCCGGCAGCCGGCATCGCGAGGAGCGAGGGGAG